TTTGTCTCATTAAAAAAAACTATTGAATTTTTATCTCAGAGCTTTAAAAAAAGCGTCAAATCAATAAAAAAAAGTAGTTTGAAAAAGTTTATTATCAAAAATTTTAAAAATGAAACAAAATTCCGATTTCTTAAACCTACATTGCATTTTTTTAAATCTTACAATGTGCAATTGTGACGTTTGAATTGGACAATCAGTGTTGCCAAATTAATATTTTATGATATCCTTGATATATCAATGTTGCCAACAGAAATTCACTATTTTTGGTGTTTTTTCGTAGTTGTAACCTGTTGCAAATAAATGACAATAGAGTAAAAAATTGTGACGTTTCAATTTAACAGTCAGTGTTGCCAAACTTCAAAATTGCCAACATAAATTCAAAATTCACAGGCCACTTTGAACACAAAATTAGTAAAAAAATGTATTTTTGTTCTTTTTATTGTATTTTTTTAATTATTAAGTATAGAATCGTGACGTTTGAATTTGACAGTCAGTGTTGCCAAATTAAGATTTTATGGTATCCTAGACGACATAATTCAATGTTGCCAACTTAAATTCAAAGTCACAGGCCACTTTGATGAAAATTTCATAAAACCTTGGATTTTTGTGGTATTTTTTCACTCACCATCGTCCATAATCGCCGTTGTGATATTTTTCCCTGTCACTCCTTGCGCCCAGGCGGCTTCGACGTTCAAGTCCAATTTCGCTTTGCCTCCATTCTGACCCGTATTTTTCAAATACCACTGAAATGGGAAGTAGGGGTCGGTGGGGTCCGAATGGGGTTGGATATTCCTCACGAGATTTTCGACTTTGAGCGGTTTGTAGCCTCTTTTAACGCGTATGAAGCCCGGCTGTTGAATGGCTGTGTGGACCTAAAAAGAAGATAATTTTTTTTTCTTTTTAATTAAAGTTTGCTTGAGATGAGGTTTTTGATAAAAGTTTATTAAATTTGTTTGGGAAGAAGTGTGCAATCAATGCGAGTTTTTCAATTCGGATCATCGTTTCATTCAATTGAATTTTTATTCAAACTCCGAGGAGGATTTTTGCTGGTTTTGGTGGAATTTGCTGATTTGCTGCGCTTGTTGGAAATAATTGGATTCGGTTGGGGCATTTTTTTTTATTTAAATAAAAAAAAATTATACAAAAATTTTCTGGAAAATTCTGGAAAATTTATGTGTAACATAATTATTAAAGTTTGTTCTTAAAATATACACTTTAAA